TACATGATGATTTTTTTAACCCCTATCTTGACCTTGAAGTTCGACAAAAAACTGAAACATTGCTTTAAATATGCGTTCCATATTATTATGCATGTGAAATACATGTGACAAGACATTTATAAAGAAGATGGGCGCATTTGGCGGGTGATCTGCAGGTATCATTTGTACGAAACATTTATGGTTTAAATGTCTATGATTTGGTTGGCTGAACATAGCTGGTCAGATTTTACAAACACGACCATAGGTTTTCTTTTTATGCCCCCGTAAACGAAGTTTCGGGGGCATATAGTTTTTGTCGTGTCTGTCTGTCTCTCTGTTTGTCCGCAAAAACGTTAACCTTGACCATAACTTTTGATTCAGTGGAGCTATGACTTTCATATTTCATATGTGTATTCCTTGTGACAAGACCTTTCTTTGGGTACCACCAAATTTGACTTTATGACCTTGACCTTGCAGTTTGACCCACTTTTACATGAAAATTTTAAAATTTTACTTTGGCCATATCTTTTGAACAGTAAACACCAGGACATTTATACTTCACATATGTAATGTTTGTTAAAAGACCTTTCACTGGATACCAACAACGTTGACCCTTTGACCTTGACCGTGTAGATTTCCTTACTTGTGAAAAAACTTTAACCTTGGCCATAACTTTTGTACGGTAAAGGATGGGGCTTTCATGCTTCATACATGTAATTCTTGTGAGAAGACCCTTCATTGGATACCAAGAACTTTGACCCTTTGACCTTGACCTTTGAGATTGACCTACTTTAAAAAAGCAAACCTTGACCATAACTTTTAAAGAGTTAGGGCCAGTGCTTTCATACTTACATATTTGACCTTATGACAAGACCTTTCTATGGGTACCACCAAATTTGACCTTTTGACCTTGACCTTGGAGTTTGACCCACTTTTACATGAAAATTTTAAAATTTTACTTTGGCCATATCTTTTGAACAGTAGACACCAGGACATTTATACTTCACATGTATAATGTTTGTTAAAAGACCTTTCACTGGATAACAAAAACTTTTACCCTTTGACCTTGACCTTGTAGATTTCCTTACTTGTGAAAAAACTTTAATCTTGGCCATAACTTTTGAACGGTAAGGGATAGGGCTTTCATTCTTCATACATGTAATCCTTGTATTAAGACCCTTCATTGGATACCAAGAAGTTTGACCCTTTGACCTTGACCTTTGAGATTGACCTACTTTAAAAAAGCAAACCTTGACCATAACTTTTAAAGAGTTAGGGCTAGTGCTTTCATACTTTACATATTTGATCATTATGACAAGACCTTTCATTTGATAACAATAACTTTGACCTTTTGACCTTGACCTTGGAGTTTGACCTACTTTTTAAGAAATTGAACGTTGACCATACCTTCTGAACGGTTAGGGCTAGGGCTTTCATGCTCTACAAAAGTATTTTATGTGGCAAGACCTTTCATTTGATACTAATTACATTGACCTTTTGACCTTGACCTTGGAGATTTTTGTAATTATTAAAAAACTTTAACATTAGCTTACTTTCAAATTTCACAATTGTTTTCCAGTGAGAATACTCTACTTTTGGTACCAATTAATTAAATTTGCATTTAAGAAAAGCTTAATCTTTGCTATGTTGCCATACGGGGGCATCAGTGTTTTACAAACACATCTTGTTTTCCTTTAGTTTGAAAGACTTTAAGAGATTGTAGCATTTATGTCCGTTTTTCCTATGGGGTACTATAACATAGTAATGTTTCACAAAAAATAAACACCTAAAATATTTAATGCATAGATGCTTGATACGTGTACATGTTTATTACGTAATAAAAAATTGGAATTGATTTCGCTCGATATATGAAACTGAACCAAAATTTATCTAATTCAAAATTTTAATACATCAGGACATAAAACGAAACTGACAAAATAAATGGTTGTTTGCATGAGAAAAAAAAAATTAACGCCCCATGCAAGGCTCGAACAAAAACAATTTTTATATAGTACACTGAACAGGTAGCCCAACTTACTGAGCTGTCACCGCTACACATATACAGGTGATTTTAAAAGGAATTTAAGCACCACACTAGCTCACACTTTTGGATTTTTTTGGGAAAAGTTCATTTTTTTGTGGTCTCTGGGTCTTCTCTCCATTTTTTAAAAATGTGTATTCATTTCTTTGAATTAAAATACACACAATAAACGTTTAAAAACCATGGAGAGAAGACCCAGAGATAGAAAATTTTTAGAAAAAGGTGTTTAAAAATGTACCTTTTGTACGAAATGTCTGATCTGGCCAATTTTCAAGTTATTTTTTAGCAAATCAAAGCTCACTTTCGGGAAAATATTTTCCTTTCCTGTTGCACAGGAACCCGATAAATAAAAAAAATGTTAAAATTTCATGTGACATGTTGATAAAATTTTCACTTTTCAATTACGCCCAGATTCCTGCCGAATGCCAATCAAAAGCGCCTTCGTTCTTTTACATCACCACACCAGGCTCGAACCAAAAACTCTTCGGTACGAGTGAATTGAACAGGTAGCCCAACTTATTGAGCTATCACCGCCACACATATATAGATGATTTTAAAAGGACAAAGAAGCACCATATTCACACATTTGGATTTTTTTGGGAAAAGTTCTTCTCTCCATTTTTTTAAAAAGTGTATTCGCGTTTTTTTGAATTAAAATACACACAAATAACGTTTAAAAATTATGGAGAGAAGACCCAGAGATAGAAAAATTTTAGAAAAACGGGTTTAAAAATGTACCATTCTGTGCCAAATGTCTGATTTTTAGAAAAAGGTGTTTAAAAATGTACCTTTTGTACGAAATGTCTGATCTGGCCAATTTTCAAGTTATTTTTTAGCAAATCAAAGCTCAATTTCGGGAAAATATTTTCCTTTCCTGTTGCACATGAACCCGATAAATGAAAAAAAGTTAAAATTTCATGTGACATGTCGTTAAAATTTTCACTTTTCAATTACGCCCAGATTCCTGCCGAATGCCAATCAAAAGCGCCCTCGTTCTTTATTATGAATGTTGACCTCGTGACCTTGACCTTGAAGTTTGACGCACTTTCAAAAATTCTAACCTTGGTCATAACTTTTAAATGGGAAGAGATAGGGGTTTCACATGTATATTACTTGTGATAAGACTTTTCTAAATACACTATGGTTTTTTAACCCCTGATCTTGAACCCTGATGTTCGACCTACGTTTCAAAAATGCTATTTTTATGCTCCCGTAAACGAAGTTTCGGGGGTATTTAGTTTTTGTCGTGTGCGTCTGTCTGTCTGTTTGTCAAAAAAAAAAAAACTTTAACCTTGCCTATAACTTTTGATTTAGTGGAGCTATGACTTTCATATTTCACATGTGTATTCCTTGTGACAAGACCTTTCTTTCGGTACAACCAAATTTGACCTTGACCTTGGAGTTTGGCCCACTTTTACACAAAAATTTCAAACTTTTACTTTCGCCATATCTTTTAAAAAGTAGATACCAGTATATTTATACTTCAGATATGTATTTTTTGTGGAAAGACTTTTCATTATGGATACCAACAACTTTGACCTTGACCTTGGAGATTCCCGTTTTCCGTTCTTATGAAAAAACCTTATCCTTGGCCATAACTTTTGAACGATAAGGGACAGGGGGCTTTCATACCTCACATATGCAATCCTTGTGAGAAGACTCTTATTGGATACCAAGAACTTTGACCCTTTGACCTTGGAGCTTGACCTACGTTTAAAAAGCAAACCTTGACCATACCCTTTAAAGGGTTAGGGCTAGTGCTTTCATATTTCTCAAATTTAATTCTTGTTACAAGACCTTTCATTTGATAGCAAGGCCTTTGACCTTGGAGTTTGTCCTACTTTTTAAAACTTTTAACCTTGACCGTAACTTCTGAACGGTTAGGGCTAGGGCTTCCATACTTTACGTATGTATTCTTTGTGGCAATACCTTTCATTAGATACCAATTACCTTGGCCTTTTGACCTTGACCTTGGAGATTTTCTTACTTGTGACAAAACTTTTACCTTGGCCTACTGTCATATTTCACAATTGTGTGAATACCCTACATTTGATACCAATATATTAAATTTGCATTTAAGAAAAGTTTACTCTTCGCTATGTTGCCATACGGGAACATCACAAACACATCTTGTTTACCTATAAATTTGGGTTGAGAAGAGATTAGGGGTTTTGTTTACTCTGAACTAATCAGATAAAAGACAATGAAATTGTACTGAACTCAGGATGCTGCGAATATGTTATGCGACCAAAGCTCTTCTGCAGGTAGCAATTTCAGTTCAGGAGAATCCATATTCAGCAAACTTACCAGGGGATGCGCCCTTCCCTACTACTGGTTATTATACCGGGCCTGTAAAATTCACTTATCATTCAAGTATCGCTGCAACATAGCTCAATTCAATTGATTCACTGACCAATGAGGGCCCTTACCTCAGGTGGCCAAAAAAGCACACTGTAAATACTCATAGGTCAATCACTGAAAATGTCTATATAATCGTCGTATCATTTTTTTCTATCCGTAAGATGACCAAATCGATTCGGTAGACCCATACATGGGATATAATACAGGATCGACCGTTTTTAAGTGCAGTGTAGTATACCTGTGATATTTTTCACATATACTCGTAAAATATTCTTTTTTTCTGTTTTGTTGACAAAGTTGATGTTTCAAAACGCATGACTGAATGGTATTTTACAAACATTTACAGATTTATTTTATAGATATATGATAACATTCAAAAATTGATGATTTTTATTAATCTGTTATTTTTTACAGTAAAAATCTGTTATAAAGCAATTTAAAAATGTTTATAGCCCAAGTAAACTGAAACCGGGAATGCATATTCTATCCGAAATGGGCTTGCATTTTACTTTTTATTTCCCACGTGAAACAAAGTTTTGGGGCAAGTTCTTTTCAAAGAAATTTACATGACATGTAAGTACATTGGCTTTGTCATGTGATCTTTTGTGATGTTTGTACGTTTAATTCAGAAAAACAAGAGAAGGTCTGTCACCTAATACTTACTAGGCCTTATTTGTTTTAGAACTCCAGATCGATGGATGACAAAAATTTTGAGACAGAAGGGTCAGTGCGATCTGTGACTGTGAGACGGTGCAACAGATGCAGGAATCATGGTTATCTGGTGGAGCTTAAGGGTCACAAACATTTCTGTCAGTATCGAGATTGCACATGTCAGGCATGTGTTTTACTAGAAAAACGGAAAGAAGTTTGTCGTCAGGCCATAGCTCTCAGAAGAAAGCAAGATATGGTAAAAAATGGTAGGTTTCCTTGTCAGTTTTAAGGGAAAATGTACAAGAGTGAAGAGAAATCAAGACCACCCTCCTGATTCATATGCCTGCAGTAGGCCAAGTTGGTTCAGTGTGAATTTTTTAAGGTTAAAACAGTCCTAGATGTCTTTGAGTACAAAACAAGATAAGGGTACATTATTTTGTTTCACAGACATAGATAGGCATAAGGATTTTTAAAAATCTTGGTCGGGTTTGTTGCATCCTTTTGCCCTTTTGCTTGTCTTACATCATATTATCCCGAAAAGACGGTTGAAAAACTGTAATTTTATTGAAGCTAAAGACGGTATCCTTGTTGGTTTGCTTATACATTGTAGCAGTACACGTTAGATCATTTGGAAATTGGAGAAAAAAAAACAAAAACTTCATTCTATTAGTATTAATACAGGGACTTTTTTTCTCTCCTGTTACTTGCGTCCTTATTTATATGTTTATGCCCAATGGGCCCTGCTTTGGTAATAAATTCTATTCTATTCTATAATTCAAGTACATGTCTGACATGTCATCATTTTTGTAGGAACAGCAAATGGTCCATCACCGCCAGTTTTGCAGTTACATAGTAGCAGACAACATCCCTATTTAAGACCCCTGAATCCACGTGACAGACAGCCCTTAAAAGAACCCCACCATATCAGTGTTACCCTCCCTAACCTCACACCTTGTCCAAACTACGTCAAAACCATGCAAATAAAGACGACATGTAAGGTTTTATTTTAATTGTATTGTAAACGGTAATATTTTAATTAATAAGATCTTATTCTAAGAGGAGTGGTTTGATATGTCTCCTTTTTTTTATCAAAGATAACTCGCAGATGAGAAACTATATGAATATCACAAAGAATGTGGTTTCTCAGGCAATGGGCATGACCACAGGAGCGCACGGTGCACCAGCAACTGAAACGAAGACATTGAAAGCACAGACTCGTATGTCAATATGTACACCAAGCCAGCCAGCGACACCAGGACTCAACCGACCTCCCAGTACACAGCCCATTCCTTGTCTTTGTGAGCCCACATATACCACACTGAGGCCAGTATCGCATGTTGGACTATATCCCAGTGGATCCACATCTTTCAATCCTAGCTTTTCCAGGGCTACTTGGATGGAGAGCCCGTTTTGGTA